TATATATATATATATATATATATATATATATATATATATATATATATATATATATATATATATATATATATATATATATATCTGTGTGTGTACATATATATAATGGTGTGCGTGTGTGTTTGAACTACTAGTTCGACCAGTGCTTTAGTGTCTTAATCGATTCGGTGGCGGATCTAGTTTTTAAAACTATGAATGCAGATGAAATAATATTTTATTGGGAAATGATAATGGCATTCTAAATATTGTAATCTACACTCCAAACCTCATTTTCCTTTATTTTTTCCATAAATTACCCATGTACAAAAAAACTATTTTTCATGAAAATAGTTGTGTTGCTTCATTGTTTAATTATTTAATTTTTACTGATTTTGTGTTTTCTAAAAAAATCTCTTCCTATCATACAAAAATTTTCCTTTACATTTGATCCATCTTAAATAGTTTTTCCACATTTTTCAATCTCTTTTTAAAAAAAATCTTCGATATTCAAAATTAGGGGGGTGTATTGTATAAGGAATTGGATTTATATTTTTAAAATCAATGACTTCTATTCATGTCAATGGACTTATCTTGAAAGTCATATACTTTTATTGATATTTTAAAAGTCTTTGATTTTATATAAATAATTTCTATGGATTTTAACAAGTCTATGGACTTTTATTTGAATAATTTTATAGATTTCACTTCCACCATCCAAGTATGTTCCTCCTGCATAATTTTTTGCACTCAAATAAGATTACTTTTAATTTTCAATTAAATAAATATTATATTTTATATTAATAACAAAATAAATTTTATATTAATGGAATAAGTATTATATATATATATATATATATATATATATATATATATATATATATATATATATTGGTTCAAATGAGAATGCGATCTTATGAAAGAAATAAGAATGAATCTGGTGTTTTAGATTGTGAGATCTAAGGGTGGGGATTGCATCAAAATTAGGTGCACCAAAATGATTTGAAAATGCATCATGTTGAAATGCAGCAAAATCCTTTAAAAATGCACTATCTCAAAATCTGAGTGCAGGATGCAATCTGAGCCGCACGATGCATGAGATCCAAAGGTTAGATTTCATTCTTATTTCTTTCACCAAGATGCATTCTCACCTGAACCGCCCCCTATATATGGTTTGGTTCCTGTGAAAATGGTGATTGGTGAAAGAAATAAGAATAATATTCATTCGTTGGATTGGGTGCATCGGATGGCCAAGATTCAACAATGCATTTAATACATCAATGAATTTAATTTTGTAAAGTAACTACTAGACTCCTAAAATTTAGGAAGCAATCAATTATTGGGGGCATAATGGTCAGTGAGCTAATACGGAATACATGCGTGAAAAAGGAAAGTTATATGGAGTATTTCATTTGCTGGACTTACAACAACCCATTTTGTTATTAAAATATTTAGTTCATTTCATTTAATTATTATAATGCACTTTTTATTTTCAACTTAATTTTTCATAAACAAGTTATCTTTGACAAATAATATACCGTTAAAAATCTCTCGTCGAGATCTATACAACGACATCAATATTGAATATAAAATTTTGATATTATCTTTTTCTCGCATTTCTAAGTAAGAAAAGTGAAATTTATAAACAATTTTCTTTTTTATATAATCTTTTTCTCGCATTTCTAATGTGAATGCATTGTGATGACTGATATATGCATTATGTTATATTGATTTGTCCTTTAAATTTTATTCAATTTTTATTTTTTCGATTTATGATTAAGTGAATAATGACTCCTGGGTGACTTTATTTGTGACGTCAAAACATGAGAATCCTTTGTATTCAAAAGTGTAATACCAATTTGAGAAATACTTTGCCTATGTAGGATTCGAACCCACATCTGTAGTATATACCGCTCTACCATTTGAGCTAATAGGAAATAATATGTTGTTCAAAGATACTCCCATCTTGTACTTTGACCTGTTAAAGACGGAATTTATATATAAAATTTGCATCTTTCAAAGTTTTTCTAACCTATATCCAAATGTATTATTGAACATTTTAAATGCATCGTCATTTGCTAGACGATCACTTTCTAGAATATACAAATGCATCATATTTGTATCAAAAGAATTTCATCATATGATAGATGAATTTTACTTTGATTTTGATAATGCACAATAATTGAATGAATTAACTTTTTATATATTCTAAGAATGCATAGTCTTATCGTCTAAATGCATTACTTCAATGTTGATAATGCAATATAACAAAAATCTATACTCACTTTGTTCATTAAATTTTTACAACGCAAAACATGTTACAATGCACCATGAATTCTCTGTGGTGCATGGCAAGACTATGACTAGTTGTTCCACAGAACTATGTCGCTAGCTTTTGAAAAATGCACCAATTGATTAAAAGTTTCAATGAATAACAAGCCTTATTCTACTCAACCATCTATAAAATGTGTAGTGAAACTAACAATGAAGCAAGAAAAATACCAAAAAATAAAGTGCATATTACTTAATAGATTCATATTAAAGAGTCCAAAGTGCTTATTTGGGAAACAACAAGTAAAATATATATTTTGTGCATAACAGATGAAGAAAAGGGCCATCAATGAGGTGAATGTCCAAAAATTTAACAAATAGTATAGATATCTATTCAAGCAAAGATTTGACAGAAACTAAAAAAATCCATTTCGTCAACTACTCTCAAACCTGAATTTATATCCATTCAAAAGCAAATAACTGATGCATATTAAGGAACCCATAGTGCATAACTGCATATTCGACACAGAGTGAGAAATACATATTTTAGGATTAAACCACACCATCATTAGATAAGAACAAATTTATATTCATATATATGTGAAGACTCATCTACACAAAATGAAAGATTTAACATAAAGTCGCTACTTATTTTCATTTACTACGTAGAAGCTAAAGATGACAAAGAAATCATATTCATGAACTGATGCACATACTGAAATTCAGAGTGCATATCTAAGACATAGAATAATCATAATCATATTTGTGAAATCAAATTGTTGTTATGAAAAACAAGGGTCAATTGGTAAAACTTGCCTTATGTTTTTTGGTATCAGTACTAGTGCATTTGGCAAGAAAGAAATATGAAGTGGGGTCTTTTGTCAAAATCAGGGTTCCAACTCAAGTTGAAGCAAGCAAAGGGGTAAAGACCATGTGGTTACTAGGTGAAATGCAAACAACATTGTACAGCGTTGTGTCGAGCCCTTTTAGGAATCTACAAGCATAGAACATTTTAAATGCATCAATGTTTGTAGAAAATTCACTATGCACAAGATTCAAATGCATCATGTTTGTGTCACGAGATGTGTTTCTTGCACCATTTTATTTTTTATGCATACAAAATGATATTTATTTTCAAGTCTTTTATTTTCAAAAAAATGAGCTTGTACACAACTAAGGTGATACTTTGCAAAAATTAAAAATGTAGTCTTTGTATATGCAAGATGCACTACTATATAAAAGAAATGTACTACTGTGCAAAAATATTAAATGAAAAAAAATTAGCATCACTGATATTAGAATCTAGAATAAGATTGCACAAAATAAAATCTGATTGCTGGAAGCAAATACAAAAAATGAAATTGACTCAAATTAGAAGGCTAGAAGTGGATTGTACCGAATGTGTTTTTGGGACATTTTATCAAACATTTGGCTTGCAAACATAAATTCAAATGATTCAACACTAATTTGTTGAGCCAGCATCTCAATGTTTCAAATCAGTTCCTATTACAAAGCAACAGAGGATATCCAATTTAAAAACAATATCCAACAAAGAGATAAGGTGTATAAAGCAGATGCAACAAAAAAACCTCATAAGAACAAATTAACGATGCAACAGGGAAAAAATCTCATTAAAAGAGAAACTCCACACAACATTGAAGGTGAAAACAACAATCTCTCTTAAGAAACTACAAAGTAAAAGAGTAAATAAATTAGGGTATTCATACCTAAAAGTAAATGAAAATCTGGGTGATGTTGAATATAAATAACATCTTGAGAGCAAAACAAGAAATTGAAGCCTGATATTTCACAGATCCTATGAAATTCATCAATGAAAACGAGAGAGAGAGAGAGAGAGAGAACCTGGATCGATTTGAGAAGGAAGATGGAACGCATATTTCCCAGAGAGATGAGAATGGAGTATATCGGTAAAATTAGGAGTAAATTCCGGAAATAGATGGGAGAGAGAATATAATGAGATCAGTGAGTCCTTGAAATCCCAAAATACCCTTGAAGATTCAGCACAAATAGACGCACGTGATATCAGATCTAAGGGTAGATATTCGTTCTTATTTCTTTCATAAGATCTCATAATCTATATATATATATATATATATATATATATATATATATATTATTTTATATAAAATAAACTAAAATAAATTTTTTAAAATATTTTTTACAAGATAATTCTAATTGTATTATTTTTAATACTAATTGATAATATAATTTTAATTTAATTAATGATCAAAATTTATCAAATTTGAATTTAAAAATAAAATTTGACCGAGTACACAGGGCAAAAGTAAGTATGCTAATAGAATAGATAGAAAACATTGCATTGTATAAAATTCATCATCTCAATCAAATGTTGAAAAAAAATGAAAACAAATCTATTTGTAAAACAATTAAAGTAACGAATAGCGAAATCCGGAAAATAAATAGATAAATAAATAAATAAATAAAGCGGAGAGAAAGTATTTATACGTAGAAACCCAAATCGGGAGAAAATCACAGACCTTTTTAGGCGGTGTCATGCCAAAGGGATGAACTTTTATTAGTCTCAGGGGAATTTACATAAACATCATTGTAGGAGCTTGGAGCCATTAATGGAGCTCCAAGCTTAAAGAAGAAGAAGAATGAAGAATAATACTCCCTCCGTCCCCATGTATTTGTCCACTTTCATTTTTGCACACCATCCAATGCACTTCTTTAATTCATTTTATCTTGTAATTTGTATATTAAAAAATTATAAAAATTATATATTAATAATCTATATGTTAAGATAAATCAAACAAGATCACACATGACTATATTTAGGCTTACACATTGAGAGAATTTGATGAGTCAAAGTGCTTAAATGAACAGTTCCAAAAGTCAAATGTAGACAAATACAGTGGGACGGAGGGAGTAATAGTGACTTGTAAGAATTGACCTCCTTCACTCCTTCGTACTCTCTCTTTTTAAAGGACGAAAATGAATGGGATAGTGGGAGACAAAGGATTATTCTTAGGTCCCACCAAATATATCTTTAGGCCCTAGTCAATATTTATATATCTCATCAAATTATATTCTTCGTCTTCATATCTCTGGCTCCGTCTTGAATAATTTATCTAATTTATATCTTGGGCCAGATAGAATTGGACTTACTTGTACTGTTCAAATAATATTGGATTAGATAAAAATCCTTAAGCCATCAATCACATTGCTGACTGAAAAAAATCAAAGGTAAAGTTATTTTTGGGAGAGGGAGCATACAATTGGAATGGGCATTCAACTTAATATCGACAGGTTGATCATTGAGAAGATATGCAGGATGTTATCTATAGTAGAGTCTTCAACTGTTGGATGAACCCCTGCCGCTTGGTGTGTAGACGTACAAAAAAAACATTATACAGCACGCTTTTCAAAAGTATTTACACACTTGCACAAAGTTTACATTACATCATCCGTACATTTCCCATGCTTTTGTTTTGCCTCCACCTTCATATATTAGGACACTGATAACATTAAATGGCAAATGCTTCTCATCCAATGTGATCTAAGGTGCAATGATGTTGCACTGATACAGACACAACTCAGAAAACTATAAAAGCATATGATTTTTGGAGGCAGGAGAGAAGCAGGAATCCAAGGTAACTAGAGAGCAAAGAATTCCCCCCTGTAAAAGAGAATAAATGTTATTTATACATACAAGAAAATATATCCTACAAATAAAGAAATTATTTGCTGCTTCTATACTAGGAATTATATGTTGCCCCAAATAAAGAATTAGACAATGATTACCCCACATCTCTTTAGTATTAGAATGGTCGTAGTTATTCATAATCTAGTGAATCAAATATTAAGGAAATATAAAAATTCATAGGAATATTCCACTGTTACTCTGAACATTAGGCCTGAAATCCTAATGCAGTATTCTAGTGATATGGTAAATCTTGAATTCAGAGTTCGGACCCATTGTTTGGCAGATCCCGATTCCCGATAATCCAATATTCCAATGGTCATTGGGTCTGCTGAGCAGAGGGTCAGCCGTTAATATTCAAGTGAAGAACCCAAGGAGTCAGTGGGTCCTGCCACGATGTAACGGGTTGTGACAGTCAAGCACTTGGCTTGGCCTAAAGGGCCAAACAATATATCTGAATCAAAAATCAAATATGCTTGTATCTCTGTGAGAAGTGCCAGAAGTTACTTACCACATACAACACCATACTTTCCACTTGAAACCATCATACAGCATATAGCCTTATCACCTGATCAATCTTAGCACGACAGACGGGGCAACCCCACTTTTTCCCCATAATATCACCCAAACAACACATGCAGCCTGCCATATGGCCACATGGGACACAAGCTCCCTCAATGGGAGCATCCAAGCATATCACACAAGTAGCATTAGGTTGTTCTTTGTCTTCATGTGGTGCTGCAGCTACATTCTCAACATATTGTGAAGAAAATTCTACATGGCTGGTGTCAATTGATGGATAATGAATTGGACCTTGATCTATTTCCTCATTTCCAATGATAGGAGCTGAGGGGAGGATGGGTGCTTGAATAGGGTTCTCAACCTTTGTGCAGATCACAGACGTCTCAATTGGGGTCCGGCTATGCTGAATCTCATTGCTACTCGGGCCGGCTTTTACTTCCATGGGGTTAGTATAACTTGTCGAGGCAACCGATCCAGATTCCAACTCTGCTTCCAAAATGGGTCTTTCATGCACAGTAGGCTGCATGGAGGCACTAATAGCCATAGCCAACTCTACATCGTCCAAGGCAGGTGGAGCGGTTGCTGGTAGAACAGGATATTGGGTGCTTAATGGAAATCCTGGATGAGTGACCTGAATGAAAGGCCATTTATTAGAGGTATGCAAACCCCACATTGCACATATCAAAATTAGTTGACCTCTTAAATTCATGTCTCCAAAACATTGATCTGGGAATGGTAGGTCACACAATGCTGAGGGTGCAATATGATTCATAGATGCATAACACTTACCAAATTCATAGCTATAGATTCCAGATTTTTGAACCCATTAGAGGAGTTTTGATAAGAAAAATAAATATTTCATTAGTAATTTGTTGGAATGTATAATACTCCGTACAACATACAGTTCCAAGGTTGCTTGGGAGAAGATTGAGATTTCACCTGTGGAATTCCATTACATGCATTCCAAAATGACTGCAACAGTTGTTTGTCACTTTCTTGCACGGCAGCAAGTTTGATCCGCAGTTCTGCAACAAATACTTAAAAATTAAGTTGGATCAAATTAAATAATCGGATTGTTACTGATGATGTCTTAAGGCTCTTGAGGCGTAAAGAAAAATTTCAAGCAAATATAAGTGATCCTCTTGAGGCTCTGATGATCAAGTGCTGGTCCAGGATAATACAGTACAATCCCGAAGATGATGTCAGTTTTTTCATACAGCACTAAATGCAAGGCTTAGAGTGCATCTTAAATGTATGCTCAGAGTTGGCCAAAAAAGGAGAATTCAAAAGCATTATCCACCTCAAGGAATTTGATTATTTTGATATTACATACTTGGGAATCCAAAATGACCAACAGAAGCTCAATATATATGATCTAATTTGAGGATAACTTTATCACCTAATTGGAAAGGATGGGATCATGTGACTAGGAAGTAATGTGTGAGAACTAGAAACATCAAACATGATACACTAACAAACAAATTGCAAAGGAGAAGGCCAATTGTCTAATATCATCATTCTACTAAAGGTTCTAACAAACCCTTCATATAGAGATGCGATTGAAGTGAAAACTTTGCTAATGATTTTTCACTGAATTCCTACAAGGTCATCTAATAACCCCTTTATGCAGTAAGGTTTAGCTAAATGGCATATTAATTGTACTTACGCCTAGCTCCTCGAGGTCCATGCCTCGGTAGTTGAGAGGACATGATACCTCTCCTTCGCCTCCGGCCTCTTGGGACTATGCATTAAAATCACAAAACAATCATCTATCTAGATTGATGTTTAGAAATACTTGGGTCAAATTTAACTATGGTCAGTGATAGTGAATTACTGCTTGAAACATTTGATATGACCACTACTGGAGCTGAATGATTAAGATTAGGTTCTTCCACGTTGGCCTTCCATAGTGCAACAGTTCGGGGTTGAGCATCCTAATCAAAGTTTAACAAAAAAAGTTAGAACACGAGAAGTGTACTCTAAGAAGTGAAGTATAATGTTTATTATACAGATGGAAAAAATTTATTTGTGAAAGTATCAGCCTTAAGTTACCGGCCCCCTATTTCTTACCATGCATAACTTAGACCCTATTGAAGAAATAACCAAGTAATACATGTTGCAAAAATAACTAATACGGAGTAAAACATAAAAAATAGATCACTAACACAAAAGAAAAATAGAACATAATGAATTGCACTATCCGTCCCATATCTTTCTTTGCGTTGCACAAAACGAAGAAAAATCCCAAATTTTTTAAATATATTTTGTTGAAATATTGGTATAGAAATAAAAAATAAAATTAATATATTTAAAAACATCAAAAGTCCAACAAAACAAGTGGTGACAAAATATTTTATTTTATCATATAGGTCATTAAAAAATGCAAATGAACAAAAGTTCCTGTGAAGTTGGAATAGTACTCTGCGAAGAAAGATATGGGACGGAGGGAGTAAAAAAGTGAGGTCTAATTGAAGTTCAAGATGAAGAGAATAAAGAGTAGCAAATCTTTCTTTCACAAGAATCAAGAAATGGTGTGGCTTTAACATTACAGAACGTAGCAAATAGTACACTAACATACCTGTTGAGTTGCATACATAGCAAGCTCCAACTTGCAGGGCTGTGTATTTCGGGAACCACGTGGCAGAACAACCACCCAACTGAAAGTAATATTTGTCATCATTATCGGCCCTTAATGCCAACTAGCCAGGTTTTTAAAGGCAAAAGCTAGCCTCGAAGTGGTGGAGCAGAGGCGGAATGAGCCGTAAGCCTCAGTTAAATATGAAAAAAATAATGCTAAAATATGTACTCCGAGGTAAAAGAAAATTCATAATCCATTTTCATGTTAAATAAATGAAAAAACATCATAATTCCTGAAGTATACATGAAGTGATACCCTATCTCAATTCTTAAAACACAAAAGATTAGAATTATCAAAATTTAAAAGTAACATAAAATACAAATGTCTCAAATACATCTTCAAACCTTATAAATATTAAATATGGACAAAAGTTCACGCAAAAAAAAAAGTTACATCATTCTTTGAAGGTTGAAGATGGAGAGACGGAAGTTGACGCTTATGTCTTGGAAAGAAGTGTTAATTATCTACTAGGTTTATTAAGTTTTTCGAAAGAAACTATACAGTGCAAAGGCCTAAAAGAGTTTTTGTGAAAAAGGCCCAATAAATTTTTAAAAATAACCCTTATAATTGTTGAATTCTTATTATAATTGAGGCTTACGCCTTACCGCCTCAACATTGTGAGGCGTACGCCTCAAGTATCCCTGCTGAGGCTTAAGCCTCAGAGACGAAATGCAACCGCCTCGCCGCCTCGGTCGCCTTTTAAAACCATGCCAACTAGCTGGGTCAGTGACATTAAATTTATAGTCCTAATTAATAAAACTACATAACACTAAATACATGCAAAAAAATCATAGTCACAATGTTTTACAACAGAGTCTTTTCACACACAGCACAACCTTCTCAAGAAGGACCGATAAGATTAAAATTCTAAAACCTCCTTTTTCATATATTATTTCCATGATGTATGGGAAGTATCATGAAACGATGAGTTCAGAAATTTTGTATTTAAATATTTAAGCACTTTCATTGTGAAAAATAAATGTTAAGATTGTAAAGAAGCGCCTAGAAGCATGACATCATCCTAATGCTATCGTTTTTGTAATGTCTTTAGCTTGACGTAGGAGTAACATTAGTCCTATAAATAACTTGTACTGATTCTTAATTTGTATCAGAAAATATTCATGCCCTCTATGCCACTTTGATTGCATTCTCATATGCCGCCTCAATTATAAAGTGATGTCATTCTCAACTTCTCATTTTGTTATCTCATTAACTGAATGCCTTTGTCAATACATAATAATGATATTCCATGTTCTGTCTATTTTCCTTCTTGTGAATTGTTTCTTTTATCAACTCGTGTTTGTGTATGCTACTATGTTGTGATGACGACACAGCACATAGATTACAAAACATCCCCCCAAACCCATCCAAATAGGCCTTTCTCAGGTAACCACTTCAAAAGGGAAGTCGTTGTTATTCACTCCACCAAGGCAACATATTTTAAAGACAATGTAGCCTTTATTGAGTCTTCATTTCACTACCTGCTTTCTCCAATTATTTCTGACTTCATTTCATATATCAGGCCCATTCCTACCCAAACATATGTTCAACAAGAGGTACTACCTGAAGTCCAATTAAAAGCACAATTAAATGTTCCCTGCTACAAATCTGGATCAACAACAACCAACTAGCTTAGAGATGTCACTCCTAATGAAACATATGTGCTCTACTCTTAACTAGAGGTGGCAATCAGATCAACCGGATCGGTTTCGGGTTGGATCTTTTCGGTTTGGATATCTTTCGGTTATATGTTATAATCGGTTTGGTTCAGTTCGAATCGGTTAAATTTCGGTTCGGATTTGATTTCGGTTCTATACATTTTCGGTTCGGTTCGGTTCGGTTTCGAGTTGGTTCAGATACGGTTCGGTTATAAATCGGTTCGGATAGATTTCGGTTCGGATACAATTTGAGTCGGATATATTTCGGTTTCGGGTCTAGTTCGGTTCGGATATATTTCGGTTTCGGATCAAATATATTTTGGATATATACTATTTTCTAATTAAAATTTAACTATCCGTGTTTCTTTTTATGTTTTATTACATTTATCAATCTATCATCAATTCAATACCTCATATTATTTTATATTTTTTTCTAGTTATATTATCTATACCCTAAATAATCTTCCCTTTTTGACTTTTTAGTCGTATTTTACAAATTTGGACTACAAATTATGAAAACATATATATTTGATTATGATATAAATTTAATATAATTAAATTGATTTTAAAATTTTGTTTTGAAATATAAAATTTTTCTCACATATACTAATATACTTATGTATATAAATGAAAGGATAAAAGATAAATTCAAATAGTCTTATGTTCCATTGAATACAATTTGGTAAAAATTGAGTAAAATTAGGTGAAATTAAGTGAATTTTATTCAATTGAGTGCAAAATTTGTAAATTTTTGAGTATATTTGGTTGAAAATAGAGAAAATTAAATTTAATAGAGTCAAATATAATTAATTTCACACCTAAATGTAATGGTGTAGATCAAATTTGAAAATGATAACAGTAAAGGCTGCCGCTAGAGAGTCTTTTCAAAATGCTAACACTAGCATCTAATTTTATTGACTAATATTGAATGAATTGGTTTGAAACTAATCAAATTAACTCTCAAATCAATAAAATTTATTGTAATGAGATGAAATTAGGATAAAATCTAGTTATTCCATACAATTCATCATATATTCCTTTCGTCCCAAAAAGAATATCACACTTCACTATTTAATAATTACAAATATTTTATTTGTTTGTGCGTTATCATTTATATGTATAACTTATCTTTAATTTCTATATATAATAAATTTAAGGCATAAAATTTTGTACTTTTTTTCAAGAAGATAATCCATTTTATGAGGGAATGAGCAAGTAATGTAATTAGTTCAAATGGTAAAATAAAAGTAAAAATTTAAAAATATAATATGCCTATTGAAAGGCAAACATAGTTCTCAATTTATCGATTTTAGTTCTAATCGGGTTCGGATATTATCGGTTTCAGATCTAATCGGTTTCGGGTATTATCGGGTTCGGATCTAACCGGTTTCGGGTTTAATCGGTTCGGATATTATCGGTTTCGGATTTAAATCGGATATGAATTATTTAGTTCGGTTTCGGTTCGATTTGGATCATTTCGGGTTTTTGGTTATAGATCGGATCTTCATTTTTCGGGTCATTCCGGTTTCGGTTTCGGATATTTCGGTTTCGGATATTTCGGTTCCGATTCTGTTTTGCCAGGTCTACTCTTAACCCTCATTTTGTATATAGCTACTGCAGGTTCTCATCAAGTTTACATTCCTTACTATGCATTCATCTTGCACTTCTTTGATGTGCACAGTGCATATTGGGATTGATTGTCTCCTTATCCAAGATTATATTTGTAAACATTGTCATCGAGTGTGTTAACACGTACAATCAGCTTGCATACATCTTGGCAAATCTCCTTAAGGTTGGTGCATATGATTTATATGCTCAAGCTTAAGAGGAAATGTACTCATGTAGATAATAGTTGTAACCTGTAATGACTATTTAGTACAGCCTAGAAGTTTGGCGCTGTCCTAACAAAGTTGTTTCTGTGAAATAATTAGGTTGTCCAATTGTCATAGGAGTAATAGTAACTTATAGTGCTATAAATAACTTACAGGAAACTGACAAAAAGGAGTTAAACCAGGCAAAGGGCCTCTAGTATACAAACTCGAGCAATTTTAGACTTTTAGTGCTTCATTTTGGTGTCCCATGCGGGCATTTAAGAATAAGAGCATGAAAACACGTACGCTTAATAAATGTTTGTCACAAAATATTTGTCTCAAACATTTTTCAAAAAGCATATATACATCATCCATGCTCTATATACAATACTAGGGAAAAAGACTAAAGTAAGAGTAAAACATTTGAAAATATACCATAATAGGACTTTCATGTTTTTATTCTCGAAATAGAAGTTAAAATGCATTTAGAGTGCCAATCATGATCATGTACATTACCAAAAAGTACTGTGAAATACAATGCCACATTACCAAGTGCGAACTCTTATTTTGGGGATAAAAACATGGAGCTCCTATTTTGGTACATTCTCTATGTTTTACTCCTATTTAGGGTGATTTCTTTCAATACTAGCTATGGAATCCATTTTTTGTAAATTCATGTAGCACACTTCCTTTTCCCAAACTAAGTGGGACGGATGGAGTAGATGTCATTAACTTTGTGTCAATAATGCAAGGATGTAAGAGAAGATAAGAAATATAGATACAAAAGTGGCAGACCAAGATATTTAAAAAGCACATAAAAAATGTACCCACACTTTTTTCCATAGCAGTTTTGGTACAAGCAAATCAAGCAACTCTGGCCCATAAAGCTCCCTTAGCCAACCAGAAAACAAACACATGTGGCTCTATACAACAATCAATCAATCAAGTGGTAGGTTAGTGTATGGAAAGTAAAATGCAATTGACCATTGATAGCCTAAGCCACAATCTACAAGATGCAACTATGCAAGAAAGTACCTCAAGTGCTCTAACAACATTGCTAAACCCCTTGACCCTAGCAACATCCAGTGGAGTTTGGCAGTCATCATTTATCACCAAAGCATTTGCTAAAAACCATACAAATATTAGTTACCCTAAAATGATTTTCCTGAAATACTGACATAAGAGGAAACAAGTCATTGTTATATTTCATTTTCTACAGAAGCATGTGCAGTTCTTGGAACACACCTCCATGTGAAAGGAGTAAATTAACAGTCTTTTCAAGTCCTCGTTTTGCTGCATGATGTAAAGGAGTACCAGCATGCCGACCTAGAAGAACATAGAAAATGAAAGAAACTAAAATTAATTTACACCTATTCTAAAATGTATGGACATGTAACCTTCCATTGCATGAGAACACACCAATTTTGTAACAGAAAATAACAGTTTTGCTCTCTCAAGTATTGACCAAAACTACGTTTGATCCCTCAAGTACCACACTCATCAAATTCGCTGCAAGTGAGAGAAAAAGTGGTTATATTACAGCACTAAATGACATGAATTGTCCAAAGCCAAGTCCAGTGCTAAGTGCTAACATAGAATATTTATAATAAAAAAAAGTCTAATAAATTAGAAATAGAGTCCAGGACAAAAACAAAAACTTGGCTAGCAGCGAATTTGCCAAAAAAAAAAAGATACAACAACCGAGTAGAAACTTACGAGACCCCCGGCTTGATCAACAAAGAAAAGGAACACAAAACACGAACCCAATACACAAGCAAACAGAGGATAAAGAAATACACAAAAAGACAAAAAGCACCAAGCAAAGAAAGCACACATGACAAGAGCAACTATGGCCTAAATCTCAAACGACTACCCAACTACCCTAATCCTAGATCTCCGGATGCTTCTATCTAAGGTCGTATAATCTGTTAGGGCTACAAAACTTAAGTCATGTCTAATCACCTCCTTCCAATTCTTCTTAAGTCTACCCCTTCCCCCACCCTGCTTATTACCGCAAGCCTCTCACATCTCCGTAAAAAGGAAAGTGAGAAGACTTATTTTGAGCACAGTGTATTATTTAACGTTTTTGTCAAAGAGAGTATTTTATTTACTAGACAATTGTTTTGACGTTATAGTTCATTCATTCTCTCTCTTGATTGGCTTGAGTTCAACGGTGGGACTAAAGTTGAGTAATTGATGAGAGTAGAGGGAGCAAAAGTAATTGATTTGATACTTGAGGCACAGAATTTGATTTTGATTTGTACTTGATGCTTAGAAGGACCAAAGTTCATGAATGTGATACTTGAGGACCAAAAGTGATTTTGATCCAAACTTAAGGGACCAAAACTAATTTTTTTTTTCATTTTTGAGAATATACTACGCCCTCCGTCCATTTATCTTCCACCTTTTCTTTTTTGTCTGTCCACAAATTATCTTCCCATTTCTATTTTAGGCAAATTTTCATGTGTGAAATGTCCTCCTTGCCCTTAAAAACAAATTTCAACCTCCACACCAATCGCCACCCATTTCTTATCTCTACAGCCTTCTTCTTCTTCTAGCTCTTTTTCTTCCTTCTCCACCCAATCTCTGCCACAGAGTCTTTTTCTTCTTCTTCTTCCACCTCCTCCTTATTCTTCTAAACTCGCCTTCTTCCTCCCTTTTTATATCTATTTGAAATTTTGTTCATTCAGATTTATATCAGCAGCCGGAGGTGACGCGGCAAAGCATTGAGGTGGCGGTCAGAAGTACCATTTGAGCAGCAACGCGGTGGTCGGATGGCACAGACCTACCGTCTATTGCTGTAAAAATCTATTCCGCCGCTGCTTTTCTTGCGTCACCAGTCGCCGCTGCTTTGTTTTGCCTCCCAATCACCACTATCTTACCTCTCCTTGCCAGTTGCTGTCGCCTTGTCAGTGGCTGTTACCTTGCCTCGCCGGTGGATGCTCTTTGGTCAGCGGCTAAATTGGCTTGTCAAACAAAAAAGAGAGCTAGGGAAGACAAGTGGGGTGAGTACGAAAGAGAAGAGGTGGAGGGGTATTTTGGAAAAGTCAATCACATTTACACTTTTTTCTTAATATGCGTGCCCGGTCAAACCAGGAAGATAAATTATGGACGGAGGGAGTAGTTACTAGTCTTCCGATACTTTAAAGAGTTTGTACACCATTTTGTTATCTCGAGATGACCTTACACACCATTTTATTACCTCGGGGCAAGTTTGCACGCCAAAATACTCCATCTGTTTCCTTTTACTTGACCCATTTTGGTTTTTGATGGTTGATTGAAGTTATTTTCAATTCAATTTATCAAAATACTAGTGTAAACTGTAAAATTAAAAAATTAAGTTTATATAATTAAAACTATACAAGTATATCAAAAATTTTATAAAATAAGAGGTGAAATAATTATTTTATTTTTTCCAATGAGTAACGAAAAATAGGTAAAAAAGAAGATAAAGTTTGACCGTGCAAATAGTGAATGTGTCAAGTAAAAAGAAACGGAGTAGTAATTAACCCAAGTCTAACATGCATTGGGGTCCAAACTAGTTGCTTCACTGGAGGACATTGAGCTTATTAGTTATTAACAATTATCTTTTACTTGAGACGCAACATGAATATGGTGTGTGATTGTGTGGCTTTCAAAACATAATGTAATTAAATTTAGTTACTTAAGGATAAGTCTAAAACATTAAGCGTGCAAACATCTAAAGAGGTGAAGATGTGAAGTATGTGTCAAACACATAGGGGAAACATACATGACAAGAAAAATATACTAGGGTCCACATGGTTTTTCTCTAGGAATGTGGACTTCTTAAAATAACTCAAAAAGTAACGGTAAAAAATGTTAGTCAACAATAGCTTATAGTATGGTTTGTGTTGTATCTACATATTCCTTATCCGGTATTCCTAATTACAAATTGATTTGTGTTGCTGTTTTTGTTGTTGCTAATATGGTATAGTTTCAAATCTAACTACAAAGTAGTCATATGTTGTTTTTTATTTTTAAACGTAGAATTGAGAAGTTAATGATTATGACACCAGCAACTAATGCTTGCACCATGACATGTGAACAATTATGTTTCCATTCTAAAACTAGTAGGCATTCATGGAGCTATCTGTAGCTATTGAAAACTCTTCATTAGGCTGTAAATATAATGACTATTTCAAATCTTATAAGTTTTTTTTCCGGCATATCATTTAGAACTTGTGTTAAAATAGTAGAGTCATCATCCAAAATAATTTTCTAAAAAAAATGCACTAAATTGGCACTTATTACTACGCTACATGTGTTCTTAATACCTAAGGAGATAGATATAACAAAACCATGAAAGAAATTAGCCACTCCTAATTACTTCATTCTTTGAAAAAAATTGACTATCCATCTTGATATTTTCATACTCGATATTTTCTTTAGATATCCAACTTTATTTCACTTTTTAAGATTTCCTACTCGCAGAGCCATCCATGCTTCAAAGTGATATAGCAAGATGACTAGACATCATAGGTGGGTGAACCGCAAAGCCTACTTCTACAAGGAGGTCAGTAGAGTGAGATCTGTGTATTGTAGGGACATCCACAGAGTCCATCCACTCTCATTTGCAATCCCAATATGAGTTTCTTTTATGTGTACCCTCATAAACGCATTCTAAAGCGATAAAGCTAGAAGCCCAATGATGAAAGTATGAAACGTTGCTTAAGATTTGGGCAAGCACATTACCTGTGCGGTAAGCATTTATATTTGCACCCAGCTCGATCAAAGTATTTGCAACATTATAAAGCTCGGGATTCATGCACGCCAAGATCAGGGGAGTCTTTCCTTCTTTATCAATCCACTAATAACCAAAATTTCAACGCATCAAATCAAAGGAATTAACATTTGTTTTTTAGCATAGGCATTGTAACACCAATTGGGCTCCAATAATTCTGCAAGTTAATGAAGCATTTCCCAATAAATAATTTTAGGAAACCAACCTGATTTAGAGTTAAGACTTCTAAATTTCAAGGCCATGTGTTCTTCAGCTTATTTTTTACTAATTACTTATTTTTATCAGACCAGATCAGAAATAGCTTTAAATATAACTACTGAGTGAAGAGAACGTGACCTAACTACTTGCACGAATATAAGTTTCACTGTTTTTAGAGATTAAAAAAATGAATCACCCTTTCCCTCCCAGCTACTGAGTATCATAACATTCAGCCCAAAAGTCAACGGGTAAAAAACTGAGATATGGAGCCAGATGAGGGATATGCTATAACAACAATTTAGTCATTTCAGACGAAACCATGAAAACGATATAAGAGGGAAATCTCATCCACACGGATAAAAACAATTGTTTATACCTCAAGGCCTGCGCCATCGCCACGAAGAGCTTTGATACCTTCGATATTGCCGTAATTGACTTGCTGATAGAGAAGTTCGTCTTTTGATGTATGTTGCCCCATCTCGGTTAGTTCTCTTTCTGAAAATTATGGAGAAGGACAAATACAAAATCGGGGAAGGAAGTAAGACGGGTTAACTTCAGAGGGATCTGACGGAAATATGAGAAAGTGCTTTGGGTCTTTCAGCCAGTAGGTGATCAAACGGTTTGCTTCCATAGGAAACTATAAGAAATATTTGGACTAAATAGCACTAAAACTTAAGTCATTTCTCTAAATAGTATTTAAATTGTTTTACTCCCTAAATAGTACTTAATAATGTCCATAATGTCCTGTGATGAAGAATATTTACTTGAATAATTACTAATGCATAATGACTAAAAGTGCTACATTGGAAACAAAAACACATGGGAAAGTCATTATGTTTTAGTGCTATTTAATTAAATTCCTCATAGTATAAATCTCCCTCACTTTTTAAATTAATTTCTCAGTTTGACTTTTTTAACATGTTACAATAAATTCATTTTAAAATATAGTTTTAAAGTATTTTATTTTTATAATATATATTTATATATAAATAAAAATATTAATAATCAAAGTATTACATTGAGGACCATAAAAAATCAAATGAAAATTATTTTTAAGACGGAAGGAGTACATTAGATATCCAATTTTGTGGTAATAACTTAGAGATCTCACCTTGTCAAAAATAATTCAAGAGAGTCTAAGATTCGAACTAAATTATTCCTGGATACTTTTTGCCTAACCGGCCCTTAGAGCCAAGAATTACGTTAGTTAGCCCTATGATAATTACTATGGGGTATCTCAAGTTTTATACTAAGAACATCTCCTAAGAGCATCTCCAAGGGATTAGTTTAAATATAAATTGATAAATACTCCGTACTACTTTAGCAAAGAAATAGTGTTTTACACTTCACTTATCCATCTTTTAGCGAGGAAATTCTCAACATAATGTAAATAAAAAAAATTGCATTCACGGGCAGTGTAAGTCAGGAGATTCATTCTTGACAATACATGACAGAGTTGCTTACTCTGTTTCATCCTGGATTAATAATGAAAATGGAGTATCGTACTATGTATCACTTTTATTATTAGAAACGGAGTACCGTACTCCGTATGTCTTTAATTAACCAAATACGGAGTAGCGTATCCCATTTGTGCTTAAATCGCCACGTCCACCTTCCTCCTAATCCGATCTTCATTCACAAATAAAAAAACGAAGAGGGAGAGAGACGAGGAGGGCGAAGAGAGAAGAAAGACATAGCTGATTGGAGGCAGCTACTCTGTTTCCATAGGGGTATTATTTTGTTAAATTTATTTCAATAATTTTTAGTTGGTTCATATAAGATTTAGCATTTTGTGAAAATATTGGCCAATATATAGTTTAATTTTATAAATTTGATATTGCAAGATATTTATTTACTCATAAATTGTAGAGCATAACTACTTAGTTCATAAAAAATTCTTGTTATAATTGTCTTCTTATATTTGTTTCAAAAAATTTGTAGTTGGTTCATATAAGGTTTAGCATTTTTTGAAAATAATGACAAAAATATAGTTTATTTTATAAATTTGAGATTGTAAGATATTTATTTACTCATAAATTGTAGAGCATAACTAGCTAGTTCATAAAATATTTTTTATTATCATTGTCTTGTTATAATTTTATTAATTTATTATATTCTTATCTTGTAATATCTTAAGCAAATGGATGTAAATCTAGGACCTATTTTACAAAATGTTTTAATTCTTGAACCTAGAGAGCATAGGTGTGACGCATTATGGGAAAACGAAGAATATGCTAAAATAGTATTGAATAGGGGTGAACACGGTACGCTTCCGGTCCAGTTCCGGTGCCGCCACCCCACGGCACCGTTACCGGTACCGGTGCTAACAAGACCGAAGCCGGTACTCGTACCGGCGGTCCTGGTAATGTACCGCCCGATTTGTTCCGCCTCTTTTTTTTAAATATTTTTTATGAGAATTTATAAATGTGTTGCGTAAAAGCAAAAGAAATTTAAAACTTTTTAATTGTTATGAATTATAATATCTAAAAATGTAGTTGTTATTTAAATATTGAAAAATGAATAGTACAAAAACAACTACCTTTAAATATCTTAACGGTTCAAAAAAAGCGACGAGGTAAAGATCCGTAAAGAAACCCTCAAAGGAGTTTATATATCGCTCACCTAAAAAACTAATTACAATAAAATAAAAAAAAGTTATTCACTTATTCCTCGGAACTAGGGCTTCCCTTTGTAGTTGCATTCATGTAATTTTCTATACCAATGTTGTACCCAGACTCTTGAGCTCGACGTCTTGCCATGAGCCCATCTCGGTCGCAAACAAGTATCTCAAGTGATTCAGTGCTAAGAAAACTTTGGTAATCGGTTAGAATGTTGCTGCTAGAACTGAATTCTTGTTCCACAGCTACGGTTGAAACCGGCATGAATAAGACTTGTCTGGCTCGAATTTCGAGAGACGGGAACATATGTTCATTCTGCTTCCACCATTCGAGGACGTCGAAGTCCATGTCGTTGTCTTCGTTAGAATCGCATGGCACCCATTGGTACATAGCAAGTTCGTTGTGCAAACTTATAGTTGTACCACCTAAGCTCATCGAGACAGAACTACGCTTCCCTTTTTTGGCCAAGAGGCCAACGACTATCTCTTTAAAACCTTTTTTTTCTTTGGGAGGTGGAAGAGTTGTTGTTTCTTCCGATGCATTACCATAAATCACTTGAAATTTTTTAAATAATGACTCAAAAGATCAATAGCATTATCTCTTTCTTTTGCCCATTCTATTGAATGGTTGTAGATATAATTATTTTCATCCACTGTGAGATTCATTGAAATCACGAAATGCAAGAACACGTTTATGCACAATCCAATCACTATCTATCCAATGACAAGTAACATCCATATAGGACAAATTATGATATGTTTCACTTCAAATATTAGAACAAATAGTAACACGAGCATTAAAAGTGAGGAAAAAAATTGCCAAATTATTTTTTTTCAACTTTATATTGTCTAATAATTTCTTTCTTAATTATTTCTCTTGAAAAATCTCTTGCTTGAGGGTTTAGTGAGGTTTGGCAATAATCAATAAATTCACGTTTTCAGAAAACATGTATGGTAATTTTTTTCTCACAAATCATTTCGGCTATTTTTTTGCTTATTTTCTCATCGCTATAAGCAAAAAGGCTGCTCTTACCCTTGTTCACAAATCGAGAAATTTGGGTCTGCACTTGTCCCTTCTTCGCCATGAATTTGGCGTACTCAACAGGGTGCCTCGCACTGAGGTGTTTGGTCGATCCACCATAATCTCTGGAAATTCTCATTTTTATGACTGCCCCACAATGAAGACAAGTTCCACATTTTGTTTATGGTTTGGTATGCGTTGGTTCTAAAATGGAGTACAAATAATTTAGACTTATGTTTTTTACCTTTCCCCGGACCTTCAGAAGTCTCGGGCTCACCTCTCTCCTCATCGGTAGGATTGTTGCTCTCGGGTGTTGGTTCCAACACCTCTTCAACATCCGCAAATATATCTTCAAGAGTTTGAAGATTGGCGTCATTCCTACCTCCCAAATACTGGCCGAATTCATGATCGGTCATAGCATCAACTATGAATTGTTGGAGGACCGTAGGAATGGAAGAGACAAAGTGTCTTCTTTGAGAAGCATGTGAACTCGGACCATCAGAGGTGGCGATAGCTTTACCTTTAGTAGAACATCCTCGATTCACAACGCCCGTATCTACGTACGGACCTTGTAACGCCCCGAAATTAGGCCTATCAGAATTAATTAATTGATAATTAATTAATTACTGAGAAGGACCCAAAAAAATAAGTGATTTATAAAGTTTGTCAATAAATAATAAAAATTATATCATTATGTAGAGTTTGACGATCTGACCCCAACGGTTCAATCGGATTTCAATTTGGAGAAAATTGGACCAAAAAGTGTACCCCGACTGGGACCAAATATTAGTCTCAATCAGGGACTACACACCAAATAGCGCCATGTGCAATCACCGCCGATTCCAAAAACGCAGAGGCAATTAGGAAGCCCACTCCCTTGGCTTCTTCTCCTTCCCTTCACTATATAAGAAGGCCTTTCAAGTTCCATTCTTCACCATTCTACTCCATTTTTCTTCCTAAGTGTTCCTGAAAGTGTGAGGAGGGTTGTAGTGCTGCCATTTTGGTGTGAAGTCGCCGGAACAGAGAGTTATCGTCGCCGGAAGTTTCGTCGTTCTTTTGCCAAAATCTTCGTTAAGCTTCAAGGTAAGCCCGTAGATATATCTAACGACTAGAATGTTCATATAGGTCGTTTCAACGTTCATAAATGGTCATTTAGTTGAGTTTTGTGTTTGACATGTTTGAAGAAATCTAAGATATACCCACTTGTATATTGATGATGATTATTAAGGATATCTAAAAGAACTCTAAGATATACCCACTTGTATATTGATGATGATTATTAAGAATATCTAGAAGAACTCTAAGATATACCTCCTTGACCAATTCATAATTCGGGGTTAAAACGTACGTACGGGATCCAGAACGGATATCACCCACCCGACAAATCATTGTTCGGTTGGTACGTAATCCACGTGACTCATAGGGTGGATTATTGATTCTTGTGTTCTGTATTAAACTATTTATAGTTTAAGGGTCTGGTTAGAATTACTGCCTTAGACTGGGAATAGCTAAGAGCTGATTATAAAATGATGTGGCCTTAGATTAAGAATAATCTAAGAGCATTGTTGAGATATTGAATATCAAATGACTTGGAATAAAATATTGAGAATATCATGAATGTTTGAATTATATATTGTGTGCATGATATCAAATGGTTGATTATGAATCGAGATTCAATTTATGTGGATGTTCGACGCTTTAGATATGCTTACTCAGCTTCACCGCTCAGCGTGTAGTGTGTTTTATTTGCTACACACAGGTAAACAGAATGAATGACTAGCATACTCTTGGAAGCGGAAGGGGCGAGATAGTCGTGGTGGATTATTAAATGAAATAAATAATTATGTTGTTATGAGACATATTTTAAAGTTGCTTCCGCATTTTATTTAAACACTCCGTATTTCTCTACAGTTATGTATGAAATATTATTTATTTATAATGAAAATGTTTTAAATGTTTTAAATTATCACGATTACCAAATCAATACTTTAGTCCGAAAGGGGCTGCAGACATGGACGGATTAGGGTGTTACAGACCTTCTATCAGATTTCCTCAACATTCTAATATATTTTTATATTGATAAAACAATAGGACTATAATAAAAATTTATAATATTATAGGGCGCTCCGGTGCCCCGTTCGTAAAATTGATGGTTCCTACCCCCCGTAACCCCCCGGTAAACCCCCCCCCCCCACCCCGACCCGAACACACACCCCCACCCCCTTCAATTGCACCCCACAAGTTGATTTTGACTTTGAAGTCAAATTTTGACTCCAAATTCAAAATCAACTTGTGGGGTGCAATTGAAGGGGGTGGGGGGTGTGTTCGGGTCGAGGCGAGGCTGGGGGGTTACCGGGGGGTTAGGTGGGTAGAAACCGTCAATTTTATGAACGGTGCACTGGAGCACCCCCGGGTCATCCCATGACATTGGGAACCAAGGGGAATATTATAATATGATAAATTTATAATATTAATAATATAATATATTCGCATTTCGAAATATATTATAATATAAGCATATAATACTATAATATGTTAGTAATATATGATTATATATTTATATTATATAATATATATAAATATAAAATGTATAAGTATAAATTATAAAAGAGAGAATTTAGTAAAGATTAAGAGAGATTAAGATTCAAGAGAGAGAGACAGAGATATTGATGAGTGAATTACAAAAAATATTACAAGAGTATTTATGGGTAAAAGATACCCCTCCACCCACCCCCAAACCCCCACCCCCTCCAAATGGCTATAGAGCCGTTGGAGGCTCCCCACGGCCCACCCATGTCAAAAGTGCTAGCTTGTCAGGATTTTAGGAAGAAAAGAAAATTTAAAAGATGTACCGGTACTGGGATCGATACCGTCGGTTCTGATCACAAAAGGCTAGATCCGGACCTGGTACTCTGTCGGTCGGTTCTGGTACCGGTTCCTTGAACTATCGTCCCGTCTCCGTCGCTGGTCCCGGTGGCAGAACCGCCGATACTGGTGTAACGCCACAAAATATGGCCTAAAATTTATTATAAAACAAAAGTAGTTTTGAATATTATTTTGGTCCAATTAAGAATATTTATACGTTTTACCAAAAACTATTGGATTTTTCAAAATAATGACTTTTTGTTAAAAACTTATTCTTATGGATATGTCTCGAAGAGACGAATCCAACGGTACATTTTATGAACCAATCTGATTTATAGATTTCAAGCTATGACGATTTTAAATATTAAAATTTATAACGGAAGTGAGATGAACCTGAAGAACGATTCGTGTTGATATATGTTGAGAAACATCTGTGAAGCTGATGTCAAAGATCCTCATGTGGACTCAAGACGATCTAATCGCTGATTCAAACACGAACGTTTAGAATCAATAAACTCTGTTATCTAAAGTATCTGATACTATTGTTTGACTCATTAGGACGCATTAAGCGATTACTTAATGTGAATTGAAATCGTTCGTTAAGCGAGAATTCTTTGTAAAACATCGTTAAAGTACCATACAAGGAAAATTGACATTATCCTTAGTATGCATTAACTGACTGAACGTCGTTGCTGTTGTCAACTTGTGATGAAGAATTCCTCAACTGAAGACCAATGATGGTAACCTTATAGAGGTGAAAGCAAAGCTGATTTCTAAACCGACCAAGTTCATCTAGAATATATATACGAAAACATCTCAAGTGTGAAGTCTATTCGTGCGATACCTAAAAAGAAACATCTAAACTGAAGGAACGTACCGAAAGTATGTCACCCCTCTAATATGAGCTTCCTTATATTTCACAGTTCCAAGAAATTGAAAACTCTGTCAATCTTGATCCTTGAGAGGACCAATATTCGTAACTCTGTATTGAATATGTTTCCGTTGAAAAAAAAACTCAACTATGAAGATTGCCTAAGAAGGAATCATCTGACAAAGTGTTTCCTTTATCGGAGAGTATCTGTTCTGTTCAAACGTGAATAAGGAAGAATCAATGAGACTCTATATCAACTACTGTCAGTTGAACAATTCGTTATCCTTTACTTTGTGTCATGACTTATTTGATCAGCTTAGAGGATCCATTGGATTCTCTAAGATTGACTTACAGTCAAGATACTATCACATCCCTGTTAAGAAGGATGGACAAACTGACGATCAAGAATCGCTACTCTTTACTACGTATAGATGATTTGTTCGAAGAACCTATTTGTTAAAAGCTATAGACATCTCGAACATGTTGAATGAACTGATGCTTTGCTATGAAGCGACTAATGATTTAATTGCTTATCATCGAAAACGTCGATGTAGTATGATCGAATAAATGAAGTAAGTGATGCTCACAAAATAAATCATTAAGATAGTTGACTCGTTCGTATATGATTTTGACGTGAAAAGATCGCGAGTGTGGTGACGATATGACGTGAAACAGTGACACTGACAATGAAAGACTGAAGAATGAAGAAAATGTAGTTTGCGCTAGCCATACAACGTTAAATAATATTTATGAATAATATTATTTCAACACAAAATACAACTTGGATTATATGAGGGAAGTTACAAATGCAATTCTAAATCTAATCCCCTGGGATTTGCGAACTCGTCATAATTAGCCCCAAAAGCCGGAAAAGCTTTAGCGAACTCTAGCTTGTCTAAAAGCTCACAAACAAAGAAGGAAGAAATGAAAAGTTTTCTTTGACTGGAAGCCATGAAGTTCTGCCTCACCGCATCATCTAAAAACTTGATTAGATTATTGAAATAACCGTCAATGTTCAAAAGACCAATGGGTCTATTGTGTAACCCTTTAGAAGCCCACGAAATCAAGGTGAACAAACCTTCCATAGTGTCAACTCCTCCGGAAAGAATGATGAAAGCTTCCACGGCATGATTCATCTCGAAATACTTGTAATAGTTGCTGGAAACTGTATGCTCTACACCGTACATAGGTCCGTAGACACCTCGTGTTGCTATGTAACCAGGAATGAAACCTCTAACGAGACCACTATTGGTAAAGACTGTTGAAGCAACAGCTCCTTGAAGGCCAACACTACCTCCTCCATAGGCAAGTTTAATCTTTCGCCTTATCAATTCCCTTCCTAAATCTACTGCAGTAGCCATAAACTTTGGATTTCTACCAAGAGAATGACTGCCAAGAAGACCAACGAATCTTATGGTGTAAGGAAGTGTTCGAGAAGTTCCTTCCATAATGTGAGAATGTGAGATACTCTTCCCATAATCGTGATATATATAGTCTCTAGAACCTGACCATTGATGGAAAAGTAATTATCACCAGCCAAAATACATACAGTAAAATGGATTCAAATTACCTGCAGACGAGAACGTACTCGCTAATACGTATGCTGAAGATATGACGTATTGAGACTCTTGAATAGTTTGATTCGCTGTGCTGAAACACGTTCAAATCCGAGACAAAAAGTCAAAGCGGCTATTTCCTAAGACAACGACCTCTTGAGTAACTNTCCAAAGAGTGAAACATTGAAGGAAGAAAACCTACTATTAGTAACGGTAATTTGCAAATGCTATCTTGATATCTTATGACTCATATCCTTGAATTACTCAAACTTGATGTGTTAACTACACCCTTGAAACATTCCGCTTGATCAATCTTGAAAAGATTGAATTTCATTCTTTGTATCAAAATAATAAAACCACGATTCTTCATTAAACAAAAAGATGTTTTATGATACCGATCTTTGAAAACTATACCTTGTGGAATACGTGACTCGATCACAATAGTAAAACTACCTTGACTTGAACATTATGCTGAACCTCTCTTTGTGGACCACAAAACAATCAGTACAATTACGTTATCTCTAAAGATCATTATCGATGATCTTATTGACCAGACAAACTCTGCAAGGATATGTGTGAACAACAGCCAAGGGAGAAATGACGTCACGAGAACAAGCTGAATCATCCAAGTGAAAATCCCAAACCTATATGCGATATTGGTGTTAGAGCTTGTAAAGATCTCTCACTCTATGAATTTCTAAATTGAATTGCGTACTAAAGATATTCTCTTCTTCCCTTGAAACAAGATCAACAACAGTGTTACAATCGAATCTGTCGTTATCATATCTAGATATGTTTTCAAATTAATGAAATAAGTTTGATTATGACAAATCGTACATGAGACGCTACTCAAACGTCATCACTTATGAGTACGAAGACTCATTAAAAACGATAAATGAGAGCCACCATGAAGATGAATGAAGAAATGTTTCGACACAAGGTCGATGAATGACGAACTACTGTACAACCGATCGACAGTATTTCCTCCCAAATGATGACAAATCCTATATCCTGAAAATATTGGACCACTAAAAGACCTTTGACGTAATTGTGAATCATTGTTGAACTACGGGAACGATACGAAGATATCTCAAAGTGAAATTTACGTTATGATGTGCGAATTGAAGACAATTCCAAAAAAAACAAATCTCCCACTACATCTATCGCGAACTTGATAATTTGAAACTGCAAAGGCTACTGAAGGATTTTCAATCAAAAGAAGAAATATCGTTAATCAACGTTGTACAATTGGGAATTGTGAATAAACGAAGTTATGTGCGAGTATGTCAAATATACAACCGTATACATTTCAAAGAAACCTTAGTTGTTGACACTAAAGGATCACGGAATGTCTTGCTTAATCAAAGATTGTTAACCTCTTGAAGAAAGAACGAGTTTCGTAACATCGACAGTTTGAGAATAACTATCCAAGTGGATAATGACGTGATTATGATTTAACTGAATGAACATGAAGCGATTATGATTAAGTGCGATCACAACAAAATGTTGAACGTTGAGCCTTAAAAGAATTTCGAGGACGAAATTCCTTTAAGGGAGGAGAAATGTAACGCCCCAAAGTATACCCTAAAATTTATTGAATTAAATATTCAATTAAACAAAATTTGTTTTGATTGAAATAAATTATTGTTGGGCTTTGGGCCGAAATAAAATATATATTGATGTCCAATAAACATAATTGGGTTAAATCTCATAGATATAAATCCAACCTGTTGACTTATTGTGTGATCTTGATTGGGAACCTGAGTACAGACCCAAATTAAGAATAAATGAAGAAATTGTTTGTAATGTGAACTTTGAAATGATTTATTGAAATAAATCATGGAAATAAATAATATGAATTAAATGTGAGAACCTTTTTGAATAAAGGTCATATAAACCAATTTTTTTTACTCTGTCAAAGTCAAACACCAAAAATATGATGCCGGAAAAAGTATAACAAATAAATGTAAAAATTATATCGTTATATAGAGTTTAATTGCACGATCGCAACGGTGCAAACAGATTTCAATTCGGAGAAAGTTGGACCAAAAAGTGTACCCCGACTGGGACCGAATTAGTCCCAATCAGAGAAGTAACGTGCAGAATCACCTAGAAATCACATCTCCGCCGAATGAAAACGTGAATTGGGAATCCTACGCAGAAGCAGCTCATCTTCCATGTCTTCTTCTCTTCTCCTCTTCTATATAAAGAACCCAAATCTCCATTTCTTCACCATTCTCTCTATTTCTTCTTCCATTTTGTCCCTAAGAGTGTGGAGAGTAGAGTGGTGCTGTCCAGAGAGTTGGAGGTTGCCGGAGTTGGCCACAAACCTCGCCAGAAGTTTCGCCGGAATATCGTCAAAACCTTCATTAAGCTTCGAGGTAAGCCCGTAGATATATCTAATGACTAGAATGTTCATATAGGTCGTTTCTACGTTCATAAATGGTCATTTGGTTGAGTTTTGTGTTTGACATGTTTGAAGAACCAAGAATCATAAACCTTGAATTTGATGTTAAAAATATGTTTTAATAATTCTAATATGATCTATGAACCTTGGAGAACATCTCTATATAGTTTAATTGAAGTTCGGTGACTAAAAATGGTTTTCCTGAAAAATGGACCGAGGTTGAAGACGAATGAACAGTGGCTGAAAATCCACAGAGTGGATCGATCCCCTTCATTGGATCGATCCTCTGGGAGTTTTTCTTCTAGTTGGATCGATCCAGAGGGCTGGATCGATC